CCATTTATTCATCATTTATTTTATCTTATTAAAAAAAAAACAAAATATAGCAAAAGATGCAGCGTGAAAAGCTCTACAATTTACATAAGGTCACTTTTCTTGCAGTTGCATCTTTTGCTTTCAAGGTAGTTAAGACTTTGAGTGGCCAGATTTCGATGCTGCGAAAAAGTCGTTTTTTAATAAATAATCAAAATGTTTTTCGCTTATTTCCCATTTAATGTTTTATTTAAAAAAAAGTAAAATATACTAAAAGATGCAGCTTGAAAAGCTCTACAGTTTACATGAGACCGTCTTTTCCATAGTTGTAGTTTTTCTCTTCAAAATCTAATAATCGATCAAATTTCAGCCGTGCGGAAACGATGTTTTTCTATTCAAAATATGTTCTTTTTTCCTTATTTCGCTTTTTTATCATCTGAGATCTCTATTTAAAAAAAAATAAAATATTTCACTAGATTCAGCATGGAAAACTCTACACTTTACATATTTAAACTCATTGTATTTCTTTAAAAAAAAGGTAAGATTCTCTGCTACCAATTTTCGCACCGTTGAAATTTGACCGCTGTAAACTTTGTCCGTTTTGAAAACAAGAAGTACAATTGTAAGAAAAGTAGTCTTATGTAAATTGTAGAGCTTTTCAAGTTGCATCTTGTGCTATATTTTGTTTTTTTTTTAATAAGATAAAATAAATGATGAATAAATGGGATGCAAAAAGCGTACATTTATTCTGGGGCACCCGTTAGTTGAGAAAGAAACGTTTTTCAAGAAAGAGGAAAACAAATGAAAAAATATTACACTACTATATGAAAAGATTCAGTAAGCAAAAAAGAAATAAAAGAAAAAAATATTAAATATATATAAACATATAGGGGAAAAGGAAGCGATTGTCGCAAACGAGAAAAGAAATAAAATAATACTACGCCACTATATTGGAAACATATAGTAAACAAAAAGATAAACAAATTGAACTATATATCGAAACATATAGTTGGAAAAGAAGCGATTTTCGAAAAACAGAAAACAAACAAAATTAAAGTCTAATACGATGTGCCGAAAAACATAGGGAGAAAAAAACGATTGGGAAAAGCACACGCAATAGAATAAAGGAAAATAACTATATCTCGAAATAGATAGTTGGAAGAAAAATGTTTCTCGAAAAAGAGAAAACAAATCAAATAAAGCTGTAGCGCCATATGAAACCATATAACTATAAGTAACGAGTATTAGAAAGAGACAGAATGAGTAAAGAGAAAACTAAGCCACTATATGTTGAAACATATGGTTCAAAAGAGAAGTAAGTTAGGAAAGTGAAATTTGAAAAAGACTTAAAACATATTTGAGTATATGTAAAAATATATAATAGAAAATGAAAGAAAGTTGATGATATTTCAAAAACAAGTGAGCAATCCTTTAAATATTTTATGGAGAGGTGATTAAGAGAAGAATTGGTATGGCTATTCGTAAATTAATGATAAGGATTCTATTAGAATGGAAGATAGTTATGATTGTGATATTTTGTTCGTATTATCATAAGTGTTCTCACGTGGAGTAGCCTAGAGGTAAAGACGCCATCTTGTTGAAAGGTGGTGGTCTTTTATGTTCTTATTAGAAGGGAGCGTGTACTAGTCTATGATTTTAATGAAAAGTTGAACGATTTACCGGCCAATTTAGCCATGTTGATAGGATCTAATCCTGGTCGTGTGTATAATGGATTTGAAATAAAAATGGAATTGGCGAGCTCGTTCGACGTAAAAAGCAATCACAGTATAGTTCGCGCATATTTTTTTGTAATCAGCTGTCTGCTAAGCAGTTAACAAATTGATGCCATTATGATCCTATTAGAATCATCCGTAACTCATTCCAGTTAGTGTGGAAAAATTCAGAATAACTTACTACTACTTTTGGAAAGACATGAGAAGTGCTTTGATATTGTACTAGAGTAGGATTGAGCTAGTGAAATGAAAAACATTAGGAAAGGGTATGGGTGGGGTATGGGTGTAGATGTAGGTGGATGTGAGTGTTGGGTGTGGATGTGGGTGTGGGTTTGTCTCTGTTATATTAATTCACACTCACACTCACACTCAAACCCACACCCACACCCATAGTTCAATGACGTCGAAAATTGCTATCTACCGCATAATTCTATTTATTATTCATACTGCGTCATGATATAAAGAGTTCGATGAATCAATTGTCAAAGAAGAAAAGGGTAGCAACAGACCATATATGATCATATATGGCTAGACAAGATCCGCACTACATACTATTGTATGACTGTTTTGCTTTGGATTCTGATCTGATCTGATAGGATCTGACAAGGTCGTTCAATCGGATCATGTGCGTTTCTTAAGCTCAGAATCTTGTAAGATTTGTGCTGACATCTTACATTCAGAATCTGACAAAATCTTGCAAAAAATCAACCTATACGATCTTGCCGAGTCTTGTTATAAGATCGTATAAAAAATCTTGTATGTGTAAGATCTGATAAGATCTGTCACGATCTGACGTCAGATTTTTTGACCTGGGTTATTTTATGATCTGATGCATTTTATGATAATAATATGCTTGAAAAGTAACCAAAATTAATCTCTCCAACTCAGTTATACAATCCACATGAAATAGACAATTTTATCAAATCGAAACCATGTATTAGTTTTTTAATATGTAAGGCGTGTTTTTAGAAAAAATGAACTACTCAAGACTATAAAAAAATCTTGTTTTTTTTTATCAACAAGCTTTCCAAATCAAAAAAATAATATAATGCATATTTTTGTTCAGCTCGACGACCTCTATTTTACCATGTATAAGCAAACAAAAAAAAACTTGCCCGAATTTGCATTTTTTTGTATCATACACTGAATGAATATGATGTAATGTCAGTTGAATATGGAACCAATATTTGTCCTTCATTAAAGAAAAATAGTTAAATTAAAGATAAATGAATCAAAACCAGTATATTTTGATTCAATAAAGATAATTCAACAAAAACTAATTATAAACAAGATATCAAAAGCGCAAACCATAATATTGTGTGAGTTATTGTTAATAATGCCATAGGCAACACCGACATTTCTTTAATTGTGTTCCTTTTTTGGAATCTGTGTTTATTTTTATTTTTTTATTTTGGGTTTTAAATCGTAATACAGAGTCTTAATGGGTGTTCATATATCTTAATAAATAACGCAAAATGCATTGATGAATTAATTCTTCCTTTGTTGAATTATTTTACCCTTGTAAGCGCAACATCAGATGATTGCTGAAAAAGCCAGAGTTGAAGTCAGCAGATTGATTTCTACGATTGATATACAAGTTAGTCTATTTTTCGTTTGAATATGAATGTTTACTTTTGATGCAATGAACCTAATGTGCACTCTAAAACTGGAATTTTTATGTCAATTAAAATTAGATATCGTTCCTAAACGACTGACATCGAAAAACAATCAAACAAATAAAAATCGTTCAAACTTGAATATATTAGTTAACGAATGCTCGTAACTATTGTTTCATTTTTTTTGTATTATCATGTTTGATATTGTAATATAGTTCTGATGAGTTGTGTTTATCTTTCAATAAAATAACATGACGTGTCTTGATAAATTGAATTCTGAATTTTTTAAATACTTCTAATCAAAGCAAACAATTATATCATTCTACTGCTATTTCATTTTCGACTTCAGAAATTTATCCGCAATCCAAAATATATATTTTATTGAGAAAAGAAAAACAATTAGTAATAGAGATAATGTGTGAAAAAAACCTACGATACAAATTTTACCATGGCTTCTATGCCCATAGACATGAAAACTAAAAGCAAGCTATTTCTAAAGTATGCATGGATAAGTGAAGATAAAAAGAAAACATGTTAAAAGTTTTATTGAGTTCGACTACTCTTAAATTTTAATGCACTTGAACTTTTGGATGCGATTATTGCGTCTGTCGGCCACGTACAAATGTCCTTGATCGTCCAGTATAACGGCAGAGGGTAAATTTAATGACGAAGGAGCAGCGTTGGCTCGATTGTTTCCTCCTGCAATGGTTCTACCAATGGTTCCACCAGCATTAAAAAACTGTATACGATTATTGTTCCGATCGGCTACATACATATTTCCCATGTTATCAAACGTTACGTCAAGAGGATTACGCAGTAATGTTGATGAAGAACCAGCCTTTCCATTTTTATCACCAGCAAGAAGTGTCCATGCATTGGCTCCTATAGGCCAACGAACAATATTGTTAGCTCCAGTGTTAGCGATGACTACACTGTTTGATGTTGAGTCGTAATAGATACCGCTCGGCAACCACAACTGATTAGTGGCAGTTCCTGCTCTTTTACCTCCAGCAACCACAACACCATTTATTGCGCCTGGCGTGTATTTCATCACACGATGATTGAAAGAATCACTGATGTAAATTGTGCCTGATTTATCATCCAATGCGATACTAGATGGAAACACGAATTGATCAAGTCTTCTTCCAGATCCTCCTGAAAACACGCACATATTTCAAAAAAACACAACAATATTTGATGAAGCTTTTCGAATAATTTCTTTCCCAACACTTGATTTTATTTAAGGAAAGAGTAACGGTGCATCTTAGACTGACTTTTTTTGAGCACTGAAGAAAACTTGAGCAGAGCTCGATCACAGATTGAGCTGCTATGGGCAATGGTAGAGGCTCACTGGACAATTATTGCCTCCGGACTGATCTATCAAGCATTATGAACAATCAGATATTTTTTTCTTAGCATTGAAATATATTTACTTGCGTATCAAAACTACATCCTCTTAATCTATCGTACCGAAACTAAAGTGAATATCTGTTGTAGAACTATGAGCATGTGTTTCATATACAAGAAAGCACAAATAATACCACCGATGATGGTAATTGCCCGTAAAATTTTACACAATAATAATGTACAAGAAAGCTGAGTGACAATAGAACTTACTATGTGTATACATGTATATGTTAATTAATCAGTGTGTGTTATGTAACAACCGAAGACTTCTGCAGAACATAGTAGCTAAACAATTCTATATACATAGCTCAAACTTTTGATGAAATATGCAGTAAAACGTTTGTCCGAGAATATTGTACTCTTGAGAACCTATGATATCCAGATGGGTACAATATGATTTTTGGAAAAGTGAGACCCACAGTAAAATGGTTACTAATATGCCAAAAGTCGATAAATCGATTGAGATTGTGTATGCTTAAAGCTCTATTGACTAGACGCATGCTGATGGGAAAAACAGCCAAGAGTTTTGTAACTTCTACAAAAGACCATAGTTGCAGTGTGAATGACATGAAGTGTCAAGTCCCATGAGATATCAAAATATTCAGACTACAGTTTGTGTCATCAATCAGAGTGCACTAAGAAAAGTATTCTTGTAAAGATTCGGCTAATAAGACCTTAAGAAACTTGAGTTTTAGTATAATGGATACTTTTGAGCGACACTGCAAAAATTTTAGTACCTAGAGAAGAAGGTTGTTTTTTGACTACAGCTCTTAAAGTATACTCTAATAGTGATATGGCTTGAATGCAGAAACCACACTTGCAATTGAAAATGCTTCATTCTATGTTCCCGTAGATGTCATTCAAGATATATTAAAATCTAGTAAATTGCTGATGACTCAACTTCAACTGTCCATGAACACGAATATTTTAAGGCATCTGCCCATAACATTGACGTCTATATTCTATAGATTTGACGTTAGGAAAAATGGCTCAACTACTTGTCTTAGTTCTTCTTTTCAATTTAACTGAAATTTTTTTCGATTATCTACTTGATTTAGTTTAATTTCAAACGGCTTTTAACGAGAATCATACTATTTATTCATTAGCAGAATAACAAAACGAGACTAATTTTTCTCGATCAAATAGAAAATCATCATTTTTACCGAAACGATATAGAATATAAAATATTGCATAGAAATCATCTATGAATCGGCATCACTCTCAACTTTGTGCGTTTTTTCATGATAAATCGACGATTTCGAAGTTCTGTACGACTAATCACGAAAAATACTGCGATCTTTTAGGCTGAAGTGGCCGAAGATATCATGTAAATCTCAAGCTGTCCTACCTTTGCCAGCAATCGTTGTGCCTGCAGCTGCTCCGGATAGCCAAGATTGAACCCGATGATTCCGGCTATCTACCACATCGATATTACTACTTGGGTCGACAACGATACCCGTAGGACCACTCAGCTGATCGGAATTACGTCCTGCTACTCCATTTTTTTTACCAGCAACTGTCGTACCAGTGGCAGCACCTAGCAACCATTTTTGAACTCTGTTATTGCCGTAATCAGCAATAAAGAGAGTATTGGATGAGTCCAAAAATATATCACGAGGAGCATTGAGCCGATTGGATGTAATACCAGCAACACCTCTAGCATCACCTGCTACAGTCGTACCAATAGAATCCCATTGAAGTGAACAGACAGGAGCTAAAATAACAAATAGAATTTCAAGAGTGTGGGTGTATGCTGAATTTTCGATTGATACTCCTTAAACTGAAAAGATTTGTCAAGCAATATGAGGTTTTTTGCTAGGCTCTAGCTCGATGACAGATGAGCAAAACAATCTCAAAATTTTTATTCTACTGCAAAAGAAATATAAGGAAACTCATAAATAGACTGCTAGGAATGGCATTGACGAGAAAATACATGAGTGACTACTTAGAAGGTGCCAATTCTCACCCAAAAGGTTGCTCAATTGATGACTTAATAAATATACAAATGTTGAGGCAATGAATACTTTTGGAATATTAGGAACCTCATAAGCTAAGTTATCAAAATTGAAAAGTGAAAATATATGTGACAACGCATAGCAAAATTTATGAAAACTGAAATTTTTTTACCTTTGATTGTAGTTGCAGTTGTAGTTGTAATACTTGTAATATCGAACAATGATAGACCACCAGTATTGATGCAAGGAAACAACATGAATGTAGTGGAGTATCCGTCAGCAAATGTAATTATCACTGGAATACCTGCAGTATTTGCATTAATAAGAGCTAGATTATCATGGAGAAATTTGCTTTTGCAAGACTGTGATATGCCACACTTTTTCTGGTAGATTATACGCATTGTAATTTCTACTAATAAGCGAGCAGATTCGATCTGACTACAACTAGGTCTGAAACAGAGTTGCACCAGTGTCGAGAAAGAGTACATTTAAAAAAATATCATGCAGAATGTATACGTACAGGTCACGTTTCTTTCTGTAGAGTTCACGACGGCGACGACCACTACCAGTATTTGTTGTGATACCTCTGATCATAATATTAGTGATTCTTAACGAGCCTGCTGGCAAACCATATGCGATTTCTAACTAAAATTTCGTTCAATTTAATCGATTAAGACAAGTGATAAATAATGAACATAGGATTACTTGTTGAGCTATATTATCAGTATTGATAACTGTCGTATTCTGACCATTGCTGATTATCGTATTTGATACGTAGGTTCGTGTTATGTTGCTAGATTCTACAATATGAAATGAATGATCAAAAAAGGCAATCGTTTCTTATCGCATTTTGCAAAAAAAAACAAAGTCATTAGATGAAAGAGTTATTTGAAGACAATTGACGCACCGAAGAAATTGATCTGAAAATCTCAAATAAAACTTAATAGAAAGAGAATACTTACGACACCCTCAATGTATCGTTTTGTGAACTTTCATTCATCTTTAACTTTTGTATTATATATATGAGCCCTATCAAATAACCCATGCTCGAAATTGCTCAACAGATGGTCACAAATTCTCTGAAGTAATGTTGAGACAAGAGATTGATGAATATTCATGTAAACTGTTTGCAAAGTCAAATAAAACTCAGTTAGTTCTAGGTGCTTTCTCGGAAAACTCTATTCCGATCATTGTAACTATTTTTCATTATTCATTTTTACTTTACAACTTCAAATGAGTTCTTTTGGACGAATTTCTATGCTTTATGTCTTTCGATTAATAAAAATTCACCGAACAAAAGTTGGCGAAGGAGAAGACCACGATTGTTACTCGTTCTGATGAAAATTTCAGGATTTTATTCAGCCGCCATTCTCAAAGACATGTCTAGCTAATCTCCATTTTTAATCTAATGTAATTTTTCGAAAAAGTACGTATTAACACTAACCTGCCTTGCGACTGTTGAACATGATGTACAGTTCACATTTGACAATTTTCGTAGTCCGAGCGATTCACAGATCGCTCATAAATTAAACATTCAAAAAAAGACGATTAATGAGGGTTTTGTGGTTGTATATAAGTGTGATTCGAAGTAGCCTTGTCTCATGTGTTAGGTTTCTATAGATAGAATTTAACATGTGACTTTTCACAAATAGTCATAGATGTCTAGCCACATCTTAAGTATGTTACACAGGAATTAATTGAAAAGTTGTGATCGCATGCTATGTCTAAGTACTATGTCTCTCTCGCATACTATGTCTAAGCCTTTCACAATAATGACTTAATAAAAAACATGACCTGCAGATTAGTTGAAGAAAAGAGTTGACAAACCTGTACTGTTATCATATGTGATGTTGTCAGCAGCACTTTTAAGATATACAGGTATCAATGAAAGTATGAGTGCTATCGAAATCCCAAACAAAAGTAGACACATGCATATTCCAGCTGCCAAGGGAAGGCATCCAGCAAGCCAGCCTCTGAAATAAAATGACAAAAATTGTACATCAATTATTGCTTGGTAGTAGAAAGTGATAGCAGCATTAAATATGAGCTAATAAAGTAAGGTCTTCGACTGTTCATGTTTTATTGAAAATTAGAAGCACCTGTTCTACTTCAAAAATGAATATTTCGAAGAAGTATTCCTTCCTACTTAAACTTGTAGGAAATGCTAGTAACAATAAGACCTGCTCATGTTCTAAATTTCAGACCAAAAACACAGCATGCGTTCTTGTTAAAAAAGCTTTAAAATAGATCAAGATGTGATTAACATGGCGTTCATGATACAATTTGAAAAGCTCAAACATTCCGTCGCAGCTACGGAATTATAAAGTTGCCTTGGACCGATTAAGTAACCACTGTCTTAGTTGAAAATGTGTTCACACTTGAAAATCTTTCCTTATGATCAGCAGCCAATTAGCATATTAGTCATAGTGTTGGTGAACGAAGCGTTGACAAACTTACGACTCTCCATAAGGATCAACATAATTGTTATTTATTGATCGCATTGACAATTGTTGTGGTATTAATGATTCACTATTGTCAGGAACTCTGAAATCAAAATCGTAAGCTTGTTGATGTGCACAATGTTAAATCTATGATTTTTGTTAGCATCAGATCATTTCCCAGTGGAGACTCTTTTGAGGACTGAACCATCATGAACAATAGAATGATGCACGGGCTACCACTTTCTCAATATCTTTTCTATGCTTTGCTAGTTCAGGTTATAACAATCTTTTAAAGAATTTCTTCTCAAAGTCTGCCCAAGAGTACATAAAAAATAGTTGATATTCGATAGCAAGTGAGAAAATCAAAATAAAACTGTTTTCAATCTACAGCTTGATGATGTTTCTCGACGGTTTTCTCAAAAGATTCCGACTGTGTTTGATATTTTTAAAAATTGAAGAAATTCGAACACAAGTTATTTGCATAAATCACGGACTGATCTTATTTTGTGGCCAATCGTTAAATCAGTTCGAATGAAGTTTCGTTTTGACTCAAGAAGGAATTTCTTCAAGTGTATCGAAAATTAAGCATAATATTTTAACTTGCACATTTGTTTTATCCTATGATAAATTTTGTGATACAAAATGAATTGAATTGAGTTTGAACTATAAAGCCTTGCAACTCTACAAAATAGTTTGTATATTCTTGTGGTGTCTCGTGATACATTATAACAAATAAACAAGTTCTTCTGCAAAAAAAGTTGGCTATACATATTCGAGCTTCTGAATGTTACTTTTGTTCAATTATTCACAATACCGATAGATATCAGCATAATAATTTTATATATAGACCACTCAACAGCGATGAGGCATCATTAGTTTCAGTGGCATGAAATCCTTTGGTTTACTGAACGTATAAAATACCGCATTCACGCAGAACCTAGGTCGATAATTCAGTGTAGAAAGACTTCCTGTGGAAAGTGAATTTATGGCAGTTGATAATCTTCCGTTTTCATTTCTCATACAATTACGAAATGGTTTTAACACAAGAAAAAAACTAATCGAATAATACAAAAATAACACTACAAGGTTAGTGGTTTTCCTTGCGGATAGGAAAAATCTATCAATTCTCATGAATAAAGAAGTCTCGTTAAGTGTTTCTATTTTTATGAAAACATACCTTTGTTTGATTTATTAATATCAAATCTTGTGTAATTACGATCGCAATGTGACTATAATATATCGATGCCGTTTTAGGAGTGAGAGAAAAGAAAAATATTGTTTATATACGCATCGTGAGATAAATGTGACTTTGCGCATAAATGCTCGAAGGTGAATAAATGGTGCAAGGTTTTTTTGATGAGATAATGCAATTATACGAAACACGATATCGTCCTTTATTTTTTCTCTTCTGTGTCGGTAAAACAGCTGAATCCTTGACAATGGAGAGTCAATCACGTGGCTAGAGAAAATTTGCAATATACAATGCATTCATTACTGATTCTGTTCACAACTAATGCAAATGTGCATTCAGAGCCAGCGAGACAAGTAGTTTTTCAACATGCCCACAATCATCTTCTCTATTCGACATCTAGTTCCATAAACGCTACCGATCAGTGTATAAATTCTAGGGTAGACAGGACCACCGATCTTGCTCTTCACACAAATTATAGTTTCAGAACTCATTCCTGTACTCATACTCGACTCAACTCCAGGAGTGCCGATTGTATCAATCATAGTTTCAGTGGTAGTCTTCTTACCTTAGCGGCAGTGCTCTCTCCGCTTTGGACTTCGCTACTGGTTCTGGTACTTGGTCTTTCGATCAGTGGTGAGCCCCGTAATCATTCAATTTTTCATGAACACTCTGATCCCTGTCTCGGTTTCAGCAGTACTGTTTCCAGCTAACTGTGTTTCATTGGTAGGACTGACCTCTCTTTTCATTTTAGAGATGTTCCTCTTAACCACGCTTGTGGGCTTCAGCTGTCTAGTGTTATTGGTGATCCTGTTGCATCTAGTCTATGCATCAATGGCATTCTCCACTATCCAACATTAATTATACCAATCCAGAATACCACTAACAACCTGAAATCAATATTAAAGACACAAATCGACAACTTAATCAAGGAATGGATTGATGAATTTTGAAACAATCAGGTAATACTCAAGCGCCTTTGAAACAACTGATAAGTTGCGTTATATGTATGATATTTCTTCTACTACTATGTATCGACGTCTTAGTACCAATGTTATACAAGTATAATCAGCATCTATACAAGGATATTCCACGCTTAACTCTAAACAAAACATAATAAATTCAATAGAAAAAGAATTCATCTTGCAGAGCTCGACATGTTCTACTAGAGTCTGTCAATTATATGATTAGGTCCAGTTAAATAAGTTCACTTCACTAAAAATTCATTTTTGGCTTAAACGACTCAAACACTATGTCATTTTGTTTAGTTTCATCTGTCTTTTTGAATGAGTGAAAAAAAGCTAAATGATTCGGCGTGTGGCACTTTTTGGAAGACTTCGAATTTCTTTTACCTGAAAATAATTTTATGTCCAGAAAGTTTCCATAGTCTAAAAATTTGCATTTTTGAATTTTCAATAATATCGAACACGATAAACACACTCTTAGAATTTTTTTCCATGCTATGGCTTTATATAAATTTCA